AGAGGTTCCTCTTTTTCTCTCGTTATTGGGAAGTTAAAGCAAACGATTCCCTCTGATGGGGAATTGTGAATGTTTTTTTTCTCACCAGTTTATGGTACAGAAATGAGTTGCCTAAATCCCATCAGACTTACCCGGCCCTGGGCGTCTCGTTTGGGTTGTGCCCCCACCTTGTGGTCGGACTGCTCAAATTCAACAGTTTCTCCTGGAAACCTGGGGTTGGAAAGGCAATTTGGGAGAAATTGCTGCCTTTTTGAGACTTCTCAAACGATGGGCTACCCATCTTTGCACTTACCTGTTTTGAGCAGTTTCCAGCAGCCTTCTTCATCCCCAGCTTGGGGTCGTTTCCTTTGAATTTGGGGTTTTATGCTGAAAGCTGAAAAACGTGGGCAGCTCCAGGGTGATGCATCCCCCTCGTAAGCACCTAAAGCAGGGGATCAACCAAGAGATCCACCTCTTAATGAGCCCGATCCCACCCTGAAAGCAAAACCCTGCTTAGGAAGGTATGTGATACCTCGTCCTTTATTTTGGGGGAGCATCACTGCTCTTTTTGTTACCTTCTTTCCTGAAGGGGATTTTAAATGCAGCGTTTTGAGCATTTGCAGGAGCACAGGCCCCCAATCTCCCGCAAATTTACCTCTAGAAAGACCAAACAAAGCCGACTGTGATTTTTGTCGCTGCAATTCAACAGGTTTTGTGTTTCCCGCATCACCAGCTCTGCTTTTCTCATCTCTCTGCAGTGGGACGGGAGCAGTGCTAAGACTCAAAGAGCTGCTAGAAAACACCCCCAAAATTAACTGGCATCCTGCAAGCTGCAAGCACATCGCATCCTTGCTCTTTGCTGCTGGTTAAAAGCAGGTAGGAAAGAGGAAAAAAAAAATAAAAATGTATTAGTCCATGCCAGCAACAGCACTGCTCTGGCACTGGGAGGAGGAGGCTACTTTCCCCAATGGGAGGAGATCTTCAGGCACCTTCCTTTCTCACCCCAAGCTGCTCCGCACCTTGAAAAAGCAATTTTGCTTTTGGAAACAGTTGTTTGTGGGCTGCTGCAACAGGCAGAAGGGCAGAGCAAAGAGAGACAGGGCAGAATAAGGACCGTGAGGTTTTAGCTGTGTCTCCAGACAGAAACCACCAACACTGCCGGTCTCTGAGCTCACCTTTGCTCCAAGGGGTGGAAAAAAAACCCCCTCTGGCATCCTGAACCTTAATGTCACAAGAGCAGGGACCGGCCATGGCACCGACCATCATCTACGCTGAGCTAGATATGCCACAGCGCTCAGCTCCCGGTGGCTGCAGGAAGCTTCCCGGTAAGTGAATTTGCTCGGTGCCCTTGCACGGCAGGCGTTGGGCTCCTCTCCTCCTGACTTCATGGGATTTCTGCTCAGGGAGGGATGGGGTTTGGTGGAGATGATGTCCTTGATGCTGCCGGACCCGTACCCTGCAGAAAAGCACAAGGAGGAAAGGATTTCTCATGCATTTTCCATCTTTCCTGAGCTGATGGTGGCCAAAACCCAACGCTTCACTCTTGAGCGGGTTCGCCACCCATCTCCAGCCTAGAGCACAGCGATGGCACAAGCACATGTCTTTTCCATAACCCAATTTTCTTGGAGAAAGAGGAAAATACAACCAACCCCAAGGATGCTGCTACCTCTACGTGCAGGGCTTCATGTGCTCGTCTTTTTTTACTTTTGGAGCTCAGCAAGGCTGAGCAGGAGCCGTGCAGCGACCAGCAACCTCTCCCCATCACTTCGAGCATCCCAAGGGCTTTCCTTTGGGGCCTTCCCTTCCCCAGCGCACCCCTGGGTGCAGCACGGGGAGGAGAGGAGCTGAGCTCTCAGCTCCGAGGCTTTGCAAGTTGGCTCGCTGCAGTTTTTCCGGTCAAGCAGGCAAGGCAGCTTGTGTGTTTTCTCAGCTCCGTTGCTTCTACAGACACTTGCAAGGTTTTTCTCGCTGAGCAGAGCGACATGGGGGGACCTGTCTGCTGAAATCAAGGGTATTGAAAACAGGGCAAAGACCACAGAAAAGCTGCTTCCTCCCTCGCTACCAGTACGGCTCCTGCTGCAGGTCCTTGGTGGTACTGGGCACTGCTGGGAGCTGGATGGGTCGGGACCGCAGTCCTGGTGGGTGTCATGCTATGGCTTCTGCAGCAAAATGGTGAGTGGCAGGGTCTGCCATCCAAAATGATGAAAATCTCCCCAAACCTTCCCCATCCCAGCCCCCACCTGGGCTGGAGCAGGCTTCTCCTGTATTGCTAGCAGGGAGCAACTCCTGGGCCACTCCTGTCCCAGGCAGCAGCTCTCCCCAATGGGCAGGAGGGGCAGAGCTGCCAGCACAACCCAGTTGATGTTTTGGGGGCCTGATACAGGTCCCTTTCTCCACCCTGATGCTGGTTGCAAAGACCCCAGGGGTCTCCCCCAAAGAATCCTGTCCCTGGGCAGCACCTCGGTCCATCCCCAGCGGTTGCATCCTCCAGCCCCGACAGCAGCACGATGCTGCGGGTCCAATCCATCCTCATTTCAGGTGGAAACGGCTCCATCCAGAGCCAGGCAAAGGAGGTCCCGGCCAGCACATGCTCCTGGGAAAGCTGCCTGACCAACACCAGCCAATGTGACATCCCCGAGTTCAAATGTTCCCTGGATTGTTTCCAGCTGCAGCTGAGACAGCGGCTGTGTGAGCAAGGAAACCACCATGCAGCAGGTACCCGGCTCAGCATCACCCACAGCTTCAGGGCTCTGGATGGAACCCCAACCTTGTCAGGGGCGCGGGAGGTTGTTGTTCCTCTCTCCCATGTGGAAAGGGGACAACAAAGCCAGGAACATCGGGAAAACACCCCAAGACCCCCCCAGTCCTCCCAACTGCTGTTCCCATCTGCATCGCCCTCTCCCTGCACCACCCCATGCCCTCACCACCTTCCTCGGCTGCTCCTCTTGCTTTGCCCCCCAAACCGGGGAAGCCTTTCCCAGCATGGGCACAAACCACATTTCCCAAAAATGCACCTGTGGGACCTCAAACAGCAGGAAAAGCCTTGAGCATCCCAGGGGGGTTGCAAGAACCTGGTGCCCCCCAGCTCTACTCCTCACCCTGTGGCACCCAGGGGGCCAGGGACCGCTCACACCCATCTCTGCCGCAGGCACCCCGGCTTGCTGGCTCTGTCCCGCAGGCTGGCAACCATTCGCAGCCAAGTGCTACTGGGTTTCTGCAAAAACCGAAACCTGGGAGGCGGCGGTGAAGAACTGCTCGCACCAGCGATCTCAGCTGGCCGTGCTGAAGAGCGCGGAGGAGATGGTACGTAACTGCGTGGGAAAGGCTCGAGCGTTGCCTCTGCCTTTGGCTGCTTCTCTTTTTTTTTTTTTTAAGCTTTGCTTTGTACAAAACGCTACACAACCTCCAGACTGTGGCTGACCTTTCCTTCCTGGCTTGCAAAGCACCCAAGCCCATGCTGCCAGGCAGGATTTCGGGGGGGGGGGGGGGGGGGGACACACACACAACACCG